CTGGGACACCGCTAACCAAAAATCCAGATAATCAGTTCATGTTCACACGTGACAGAAAAGCAGAAACTAAAAACATTGAAGCTTCTTCAAAGCTCCTCTATCTGAGCCATCAGTTTATCTTCTCGAGCCATTTCAAGCCAACTTTCTTCTGACTGGCTGCCCCTCAACTTGGTGGGCGGGGCTTCTGTACTCTCTGACATCATAGAGAGCTAACATTACAAAAAAAAAACTATGTGAAACTGAGTGTTTAGTGCCAACAGAGGGGCTGATGGATTACCAATTTTCTTTTCACACTAATAATTGTTAAATGGAACCACGTGGAAGACGACTCCAGTAATCGGATCGGGACTACAAACCCATGTTTGTGTCCCACGACACAGACAATCACACAAACCTAAACTGTCGGGGATCAATTAACAGCCAATAAAACTTAGAGAGCTAGAAAATAGCAACAGCATCCAAAACACCCAAAACCTATTTAGTGTGATGTTAGTGCTCAGTGTTTGACATGTGCTTGAAATATTTGCATCTAGACGAGTGGGGGCGTGTCTTTGCTCCACCTGCTGGGTTTTTAAAAACTTATTACACCTTTATTCTGCCAAACCGATGTGTAAGTGAGCTACGAGACCTCAGAAAAGGTGGTTTTATACTCGTTTTTTTTCCACCTTGGGTTTTAAACCTGTTAATACAGGTTGAAGTGCAATTAAACTGGAATGAACAGGCTTTCACTCAGTCGTGCAAATTCATCCCCTGAATGTTAAAAATGCTAAAGAGGTAAAACACACTTTAAGGTCTCTTCTAGGAAAATGATGAACAAATTAAAGACCAAATACATGAGCACTGGGATACTGAGAGACTCAAACATGTGAGGCTAGTATGATGGTTATCATTGGATAGTAACTTTAAGACTGCAAGAACTGCTGATTTTTCCACAGGTAAGCTCAGGCTAGTGTTCTCATCTAGTTTCTGAGACTGTAAAATGTCAGTGACCTGTTTTATGAGTACACTTTTAGCCTTTTTAAGGTCTTCCAGGTAAATACACCCACTGAGGGCAGTTGAACATACAGCTTTAAGGTGGATTTGGTGATGTTTCTGCATCTTTTGCGATGTTTTGAGGATATTTACGACATCTAGAGTATGTTTGTGACTGACAGCAGCAAACACAGACACAGCTGAAACTCTGTTTCCACTCCTTACCTGCATCTGACCACCACCTGGATGTTCCTGCCCTTCTCCTCCCGTTTCCCCCCGCTCTGGATGTTTGAAGACATGGCTCCGAGCTGCTCCCGGACACCGTT